CATGAATGAAGATGAATAAGAATGATTTTTCCTGTCTTCTTCCTCCACAGTATGTGAGGCTGTTACAAGGCCACCTCGGGGACACACACACACACACACACACACACATACACACGCATACACACAGAGTATATACTGTACTATCCTCTTACCCAGAGACATATTAAATGTATGTTCATTTTACACTAGCTATACACATTCCTGGAAGTGGCCTTCCTGACTTACAGACCTGTACATACATGTGTATGTTAGGCACGTGCACAGAATGCTTGATAAATATATACATTTGTAGGTTTTTGCATCAAAAAAACAAAATCTACCTGTTTTTCTTCCTCACCCTGGGGTTTCAGGGTTGGGCAAGGAAGGACATGGTTAGAAAACTAGATCTCTTCCTTTCCCATTCCCATCTGAAACCAACTCTGTACTGGCTCTGGGCGTAGAGGAAAGAATAGCAGGACAAGACAGTATAGAAGCAGCAGCTCTCCTCCGTCCTTTTATTATTTAAATACTTATTAGGGAAATGATTACTCTCAGCCAGACTCTTAAAGGAGAGTCATGGTGTCCTGGCAAGACACCCTACTGGGATCTTTTGCATTTAGGGAACTCACCGCTACTGAACTTAGGAACTGCCCAAACCCTTAGACACAGAACTCTGTCTCTGAAGCAGCAGGAAGGAAGGGTCCAGAAGTGCTGTGTCAGGGCGGCTCTCACTAGGGTCCAGAGCAGTGGGGGGCACCCCAGAGCATCTACACCCGGAGCAGAGCCTGCTGCATCTTTGGCTTCCAGCCTTGTCGATCTGAGAGAGTCTGCTCAGTGCAGAGCTGAAACGGAGTGGATTCTGGGTTCCTAGCATCTGACCATGGGGGCTGTCATAAATACTTTCTCTTCTCTGACAGGAAAGAAGAGGCTCAGAGGGTCCGGATCCTCTCTGGGGCCTGTGCCTTATCTTTTAGGGGGTGGAGGAATCTATTTCCAGATTTTATGGTCCAGCAAAAACCCCACTACAGAGCTATTCTTCTGGGCCTTTGTGTCTTGGAATGTGGCTGCCCTGAGTGTGCCGTTACCACCGCCTGTCCGGAGGATCCATCAGTCCTGTAAGCCTTGGTCGGACTTGGTTTCCCCTTTGGAGGCTTCTCTCATCTTTCGTTTATTTATTTACTTTTCTTTTACACGTACTGGTTTATTTTTTTGCTCTCTGAGCCTGGAAATAAAGGAACCGCAAGCAGCCATCCTCGCCGGGCCACTCTGTCCCTCTGCCCGAGGCCTGCACCACTCTCCTAGGTACTACGGATTTATGTTCGTTTGTTCGGGTCATTCTGCCTTTTTGTGTTAATTACCTGCTCCTCACTTATCTCCACCAGCGATTATTTTTGATGCCTGCCCTCTTTCGCCTCCCAAACTCTCCGGTAGAGTGAGGGCCCGTCTCCTGCTGCCACTCACGAATTATTTACACCTCGCAGGTGAGAGAGTTGATTTGTTCAGAGGCAGTGGGGCCCAAGCCGGCAGAAGCTGGGGGCTTTCTGGCTGAAGCTTCCAATCTGGCCTCAAATGTCAGTAGGCCAGGCCTGTCTGGGGGCACCTCTGCCTCTAACATTGAGCAACAGCGCCACCTCGTGTCCACTTTCTCCAATGCAATCTGACTGAGGAAAAGCCAACAGAGGTCCCAGGCCGAGCTGAAAGGTGGCAAGTTGAAAGGAAGAAGCCTCTAAACCGGTGCAAAGGAGAGGGATTCCCCGGCAGGTAGTTGCCTCTGTTCTTTGGTTTTCTAAATTCTTGAAATAAACCTTGTGAAGGGTTCCACACTGTCCTCTTTTTGTAACCCTCCTTTCTGGAATAAAGAGATACTGCAAAGGAATAGCTGCAATCTCCTCCATTCAGACGTTTTCTAGTCTAAAAACCCCTTTGCGCGCTGCAAGGCACCACCCCATCCGGAGCTCTCAGGACCTTCTGCTCCCAGCACTCTCAGTCCCTCTTACCCAGATGCAGGATGCACAGCCTATTCTGCCGCGGTCTGCCGGACTTGAGGGTGGGACTCTGACTGTCCTAGGCCCCCACCCTCGGGTTTGTTGCCCGTCCCTAGCGCGCGCACGCTCTTCACCTCTCCCTCTCAGCCAGAGAGATCCTGATCTCCGTGGGCTATAGACAAAACATTCCTATAATCCGATTTCAAAGGAAAGAGTGTCCACCTTATTTAAACCATAAAACAATTAAGCCCAGACGTCTAGCCAGCTACGCGCTGCTGTTTTGTTCGACCCCATTCAGAACCCAGAGCAGGGAGACAAACAGGGCCATAAAAGTGGCATTTCTGGGCTACGGAAATGTACCTATCCGCTGCCTTCCCAAGTGGGACAACCTTTAGGGTTTTGTGATTCTGACAAAGGAGCAGAGGAGAGGTGGGAGGGAACATGAGGGGAAGAGGGTGTTTGCCAACCCCTCTCCTGGCCTGCTTTCATTTCTCTCCCCAGATGTGTGTTGTTTTAATTCACAAATGGTAATGAATAAAATAGAATCTAATCCCGATCTGGAGGCTGGAAACCAGGATTAAAGAGTGGGCCTACTCTAAATCCTACCTTCTCCTGGGTCCTACAAGCTCTGAGGCCCTCTTTCCAGAGGGCAGGCTTCAGGAAGCAGGCCACGCTGGACTCCGAGAGCAGGCTTCAGGGCCTTGGAGCAGGGGCGGGGTGGAAGCCCGGAAACAGCGCTGAGCTCAGGCAGGGAGAGAAGCCCGCATCCTGGCTCTTGATGGTCCAGACTAAGGGAGAGAAGGGTGTCTTGACTCCTATCAAGTGCGAATCTTAGGCCAGGGTTGCAGAACAGCAAAAAGGCCAAAGGGAAAGAATTAGGTAGTGAGAAAAATAAAGGCGAAGCATCTTTCCAAAAGACCAAGGAATCAATGCCCAGGAGGGGGAGTGAAGTCCACTAAGCAGGAAATAGTGAATGCATTAAAGGCTGCTAAATCTGTTGTTGTCACTTGGCTGGTCCTCCAATACTAAAAAACCAAAAATGTCAACCCTTCTCACCTTCCTGCCATCCTCCAAATTGGAAGAAGAGTTAGAAGACTCAAATAATGGGGCAGAGACTGTCCCTACAAGTGTCCACCAGTCCTGCCAGGAGATGCTTTGGAGGTAGCAACAAATGGGATCCCCCAATTATATTCTTTTAGGTGGTATCCTCCGAGTAGCGTCTTTGGCAGAGTGGACAGCCTGAGATATTAAAGGTCTATATTTCAAACAGTCTAATTTTAATAGTTTCCAGATTGGGGGATTTCCAAGAAAAGGGGTGCTGGGCTGAGGCAAACCCAGCAGCCCTGTCTGCTTCTGATTAGCTCATGAAAACTGCTAGCTCCAGAAAGAGAAGGTTCTAGAGAAGGGTGCAGTGCAGCCACCCAGCCCCTCCAGGCTGTCTGTTATTTACATATCATCACACCTCTGGGGTCCAAGAGCCACCAGAGAGCACCCCACACCTAGCTAATCCCTAACCAGCTCCCTTGGAGCCTGGCCTCACCAACCCCTAGGAGTACTACTAAGCATGACCTTAGTCACTCTTATCAACATTCAAACTAAACATGGGGCAGACTGGGAGGGGTAGAAGGGGAGACAAGAGCTGGGAATGAATTCATTGAGAAGAAATTAATTCTTATTATATTGACTTTGCTATCTGCTTTTCCCTCTCTCCCTCTTCATTATTTCCCCTTGCCTTCCTTCTTCCCTTCCTTCTTCTCCCTCCCTCCTGACTTCTTTTTCTTGTATTTTCATTTCTTCCTCCCCCCCACCCATTCAGTACTCAGTGCCTGTCCCCCAGTGTTCCTTGAGGCCTGGTGGCCTCCTCTCCTCGATGAGCATCCTGCTAACCTTCTTTCTCAGCCAACCCTGAAAGCACCACAGCACCAAAGCAACCAGGCAGGAAGCCAGCCTGGGCCTTCACCCAGCACCCAACTTTCATCTTCACCTATCTCTCCTCTCCGATCTCATGTACTCGTAAATTACTACAATTAATTACAGCCAGCAAAACCATTCAAGCAGTGTTCCCCACACGCTCCATCAAGCCACTAGGAAACTCACAGGCAGTCAGCCGGGGCAGGCACAAGCTAGGCCTCTGCCTCAGCAGCCTCCACCCCTCCCCTGGAACCCCCACCCCCATTCTGCCCTGCCTGGATAGAAGCTGCAGGCATTTGCCCTTTTGAGGTAGGGGGAGCCTCTTCTCTGGCTCCAGCTTCTCTTAGAGGATTTAAGCCCTTGCCTCCTCCACAGAACCACGGGGGAAGAGCAATAATGAGGAGAACTTGACGCAGTTGGGTTTCTTTCTTTTTTTTAAGTGACTCCGATACGTTAACAGAGTTGTTCTGCTGTAACAAACAGAAGCACGTTACAGGACAGACGCTGGGGGGGACACCGGGGTGACAAGGACACTGCTCTGTACAAGCTTGAGGCACCAGCCGGCCTGTGCAGCCTGACCCAGCCGGCAGCACGGTCCGGCCCTCATCCCTCAGCTCTGGGCTGGGAATCATCATTGTGTGTGTCTTTTTTTTTTTTTTGTACGAGAAATCTGCCCGCAGAGCTCCCAAGGCCCAGGAAGGAATGGCCCAAACCAAATACGATACAGAGAGAGAGAGACAGATAGATAGATAGAGACAGAGAGAGACAGAGAAAGACAGAGACAGAGAGAAATTCAAATACTGGCTTCTCTGAAGAAAGAAGGAAAAAAATCACATTTGTGTGTGTCATTTATTTCGGTTGCGCTGGGGGGAAGAGACCGCGGTTTTTCCTGCCTCCTCCTTGCTGGATAGAACTAACTCTAAACACCAATTTCTCAACACTTAACCCTCCCACATCGCAAGAGTTTGCATTTTCTCCTTCCTTTTTTTCTTTTTAAGACGGTGGGCTTTTCTCTATCTTGCTCTTTCCTTTTCTTTTCGTGTTTTCTCCCGCCTGGGTTGGGGCATTTTTGTGGGGTTTTTGTGTTTCCCTTGGCTGTGCGGAAGCAGCAGGCTGGGGCAGGGCTTAGGATTGCTCCTTGTCGGTTTTCTCTTTATTCATCTTTTTCATCTTCATCCTCCGATTCTGAAACCAGATTTTGACCTGCCGCTCAGTGAGATTGAGAACACGGGCCACCTCGTATCGTCGGTCCCTGGTTAAATACATATTGAAGAGAAACTCCTTCTCTAGTTCCAGCGTCTGGTACTTGGTGTAGGGGCAGCGCTTCTTCCTTGTGGAACGGGCGTGGATCCAGTTGGCCACGGGGTTGCCTGCAGGGCCAAACATAGGCAAAGGGTCAGTAGAGTCCCCTTCCAGCTTGGGACCTCTGTCATCACACCCCCCGGGCTTAGTCAAACTCCCCAAACTCAATAACTGAACCTGAATTTGGACACATTTTGCTTTGGGCATTTTCCTCCTTTCTTTTTCACTCTTCCCCCTCCCCATGCCCCCTCCCTCTTCAGTGTCCAGCACCTAAAACTGTAGTAAATTTGAAGCTACTAAAGCCCACAGTCTAGTCCTCAGCTTCGAGAGTAGTAATTCGAGAATATCCTCATAAAAAGTCCAAATTCCCAACTGTTTCATAGGCCCATAAACGCTTCTCTCTCTTGTTTTTTATTTTTATAGCAAGGTCCCTCTCCTCCCCACTTCCCTCCTCCTCTGCCCCCTCCCATCCTCACAGCCCACGACCAAGTCCTGAAATTTCATAGTTTTTTCCTGACCCTGAGAGTCCCTAAACCCTCACCTCTTTCCAGTGTCCATTTCCCGCTCAGAATTCAACCCTGCTGAGGCGAATTACCAGGGTTAAACCTTCCTCTCTCCTCAGAGAGCTGCTGGCCTTGGAGAAAGGCTCCCCCGTATCTTAGCCCCACTGCTGGTCTCCACTGCCCCCCCCCCCCTCCTGCCAGCTCCAGGACAGGCTCTGCAGGAGACAAGCCTCCAATTTCAGGTTTATGGGAGTAGCTGAGGGTAGGGAGGGAAGCCTTCAGAGGGGTATAATTAGGCCCTGGCCCCTTATGGAGCTAGAGGAAAAGATTTCCTGAAGTCTTCTCCTGGGTACCCCCCCCAGACACTTCCTCACACCCGGGGGGGTGCAACCCTCCCCTGATGTTTCTCCTCCGACCCTGCAGCCTACACCTGCCCCCACCTCTCCACCTAGTCAGCCCCTTTCTATGCAACACTCAGAATCTCTCTCTCTCTCTCTCTCTCTCTCTCTCTCTCTCTCTCTCTCTCTCTCTCTCTCTCTCTCGTGTGTGTGTGTGTGTGTGTGTGTGTGTGTGTGTGTGTGTGTGTAGTTCTTTAATATGATGGTCCTTCCTCATTCCATATTCCTGATTCCCATTCACAACTCTTTTCCTGTGGACACTTAAAAGTGGGTTTTCAAGTTTAAGGAGACTCGGACCTCACTTCTCTCCCACTTATGTCCCGAAGTCCTGGCCTAAGTTCCTAGGCTGCGCACCCCCAGATCCTTCTCCCGGGGGAGAACTCAATGGACCTTCTGTTTTATAAACCTCTAGTGGAATGAAGACCCCCATGCTGGCTGAGAGGTAGGGATAAGTTCTCTCCTTCTGCTCCAAGCGTCCTGCCCTGTCCCTTCTCAAACCACAAAATGAACCTCAGCACCCCCAGTCAAACCCCTGTCCCTGTTTGCATTTTATTTTTTGAAAGTGACCACTGAGTCAAAAAGCCTGAGCTAACAGGGAGACTCAAGGGTCTTCCTTCAAAGCCAGCCTCTGGCAGAGAAGTCCCTCTGGCCGGCCCTCTCCCAACCTGGCTGCCTGGGCCCCCTTCTCAGACCTTCCTGCCCCTGAGAGCTCCCCAAGGTAATTCGCTTTTATTGAGTCCTCGCCCCCTCGCCCTCGCCCCTCTCCCGCGCTGCCCGCGCCGCTCGGACAGGCTGTAATCCGGCTGCGCCCGCCTGGCCTCCCCTCCCCTCCTGTGCCGGTTGTAAAGGAAAATTGCTCCCAACTTACTAGGGTCCAGGTCGGCCTTCTCCTCTTTGTGCTTGCTGCCGGCCAGCGCGTCCGCCTCGGGCGAGGGCAGCGTCTGCGGGGCGCGGTCGCGCAGCTCCCCGGGCGAGCCGTACATGTAGTCCGGGTAGCTGCGGCCGTCGCCTGGGCCGCAGTCGGCTCGGCGCCCGGGGTAGGCGTCGGGCTTGAGGGCGTAGTGACGGCCCCCGGCCGGGAAGCTGGGGAAGGAGACGGCGCCGGACAGCGGCTCGAGCCAAGTCCGCATGTAGCGCGTGTCGGCGCCGAGGTGGGGCTGGGGGCCGTACGGGTGATAGACCACGGACGACTGTGAGGGCACGGGCGCCCACGACGTGCTGAACACGGCCGGCTTGGGCGCGAAGCTACAGGACGGAAAATCGCTACAGTCCGGCACCAAGCCGCTGGGTCTGGCGGCCGCAGGGTGAGCCCCGGTGGCCGGAAACCTGGACGCTAGGAGGTCTTCATTGTCGTGAGAGATGAGCGAGTCCACGTAATAGTTACTGATGGGCCCCGTCGCCGACATCGTAACAGGGTTTTACATACATAAGATTATTGTATGAACTGTATATGTACTTTTTATCTGCTCACAGAACAATCAAGGCAGGTAATTATTTTTCCAGCCTTTTCCCGGCAGCTCATTGGTTCCCTAGCCCCCACGTGATCGTATTTACCCAAAAATACGGCGCGGATCAATGCGCAGGGGCTTTTTTCCCCCTTGCTTTTTCCCCCCTTTACCACCCCCTTCTCTCTGCTGATCCCCGCGACCTGTGTTCTCCTGGAGATCTGCAACTCTGGACCCAAGGCGCTGGACACCCCACCCCGGACGACTCATATCTCATCAGGGAACACTCCCCCCCCCCCACCACCATGTGCAGCCAAAAGCAGATGGCTCCCCCTACCATGAGGATTTAAAAAAAAAAAAAGGTGAAAATGCCAGTCCTAGAAGCCAGGGTTCTTGGACCCCCAGGGCTGAGCTGGGTTCGGGGAGCCCCACAGGGGCGGGGAGGCCGAACGAGGTAGGTGGAGGAACTATTTCTTGACGTAATCTATCTCTGTCGTCTCCGATGCTCCTGCAGTCTCTGAGTGAGCGAAGATCTGCGATTGTCAGTTCGGAACGTGGCTTTTAAAAATGCGTTTTTAAATACGGTGTATGTATGTATTTCTTTCAGGGAACAGCAGCACCAGCAGCGAGGGAGGGAGGGTGGGAGGGGACTGAACGATCTGGGATGGAGGGAGGGAAGGAGGGAAAGGGGAGAGTTCTGCCACTGGCCAGCTCAGCTCCCCAAATCTAGGTATGGGAAGCTTGGGAAAGGTGGTCTGTGGGGTGGGAGGGGTAGAACTTGAGGATCTCACACACCTTCATCATCAGCTTCACAAGTCTCCTCTTGCTTTGGCACAGATATATAAGCCTTTATTCAAATTTATTGTCTCTGTTTCTTTGCCAGCTTGAAGAAGTGAAGGAGAGAACTACACACTTAAGTGGGGCATCCCCATCCTATCTGCCTGCTCACACTCCTTTGCCCCCAGGTCCATCTCTGTGACACCTTCACCCCCCACCCCCCGCAAAAAAAAGAGAAGTCACTCGGAGGTTCTGTCTGCAGAAAGCCAGGGTGAGAACAGGCAAAGCAAGAGAGCGACCTCGGTCGTGGGCAAGTAGCTTGTTTTTACGTCCTTCAATAAAATTTTTATGAGGATCATTTGATTGTTCATAAATGTGTCTTTCATTAAATAAAATTGTAGGCTGTTTTGGGAACAGAAAAAAGCAGCAGAGGGATGGGAGAAGGCGATTTCTATGGGGTCGGAGGGAAGAATCTAGGAGGTGGCTGTGTGATTGAAAGGGATTACCACACAACTTGGATTCCACACACCCCCCATAAGTTGACTGCTATCCTCCCCCTTGAATTTGGGGTTTGTTGCATGCACAGCCTAGCCTTTCAGCAGGACCTCCCATGGTGGTTTAGCAAATGGAGGGCTTTGGAGAGACAGAAAAATCCTCAGTATGGGTTCAGAAGAGGGGGCAGAGGTTGGTTGTGGGGATGGAGGGACAGGTGATATCCCTAGAGACATAATGCACCAAGGCAGAGCAGAATGAATCTGAAGGATCAGGGTACAGTCTCAGGGTCAGAGGGGAGCGTCTATGGGAAGGGAAATAGACAGAAGCTGAGACTAGGCTGCAAGATCTGAAGGAAGCAGGTTATGTGGCTTCTTAGACCCAGCCAAGTCTACCCTTCTTCCTCTCTCCAGTCCCCAAGACCAGTCCAGACTCTAAGTGTGGGAGTGGGGGCTGGTTTTCTCTTACATTTCTCTCCCTCTATCTCTTCCAAGCTGGGGAAGTGCTAGAGAGGATGATATGTGTGTTAGGGGGCAAGAAAGTTGGGGAGATGGTACAACTGTAGCTCTTAGGAGAGACTCAAGAATCTCAGGAGCCCTCCCTAATACCTGTGGGCCCCCTCCTCTGGTTCTTCCCTTTTCGGTATACCAGGGTTGGGTTTTTTGTTTGTTTGTTTATTTGTTGTTTTTTTGGCAGGGGGTGGCTGTGCAGGGAAGTGTCTGGTTAGGGAAAGGCACTCGGAGCCTCAGATTAATTCTCCTCAGCTTTCACTGTCTTTTTCTTTGGACTGGACTGGCTGGAAAATCCAAATTACAATAAGAAACAGAGTATCTCTTTGGCCTTGATGTAATCATGTTAGCTGTCAATCAAAAAATCTTGCTCACTAGTTCAAGGAACAGACAGGAGGTTCCAGTTCCTCTGCAGAGGCTTTCTCCAAATCCCCAGCATCTTCAGCACCTCCCCCAGCCATGGGTGACTGGGGACCCCGCCTGGCTCTTTGGTGGTTGCCGGCAGCCTTCAGCACAGACATTTAGTCTTCAGTGGGGCCCCGGGCCAGACTGTGGCCAAGAGGACATCAAGGGACAGAGCCTAAGAGAGTCAGAGCCTGACAGACCTATTTAAACAGGCTGGAGGGAGGAAAAATAGAACCGGTGGGTTAGGATAACCAGAGAGAGAGAGAGAGAGAGAGAGAGAGAGAGAGAGAGAGAGAGAGAGAGAGAGAGAGAATGAGAATTAAGGGAAAGAAGGCAGGCAAGATGAAGAGACCTAAGAGCAAGGAAAGGAGGGCTCTCAAAAAGCAAGGGAGACAAGGGCAGAAGGGCAACGAGGCGCAGGCAGGACGGAGGACGGGCCAGGGCGCGGGCTGGGGAGCAGCCGGAGCAGCCGTGGCATTGTGCATGCAGTTCCCTTGCTTGCCGGGGCTTTGCCGCGGGACCGCTCCCGGCGCGGCGGCCACTTCTGTCTGGACACAAAGGAGTAAGAGGCCTCCTTTCCTGCCCCTCTGGGAGACCTGCTCCGGTGGGTATACTAGGCCTCCGGGACACAGAATCTGACGCTAGCCCAGCAGTCACTCCAGCTGCTGGGGGCTAAGCCACATTCTAGTCAAAGAGGAAGAAATAGAAGGGGGAAAAGACGTCATGCCTGCTCTTCCTCTGCATCTTCTCTAAGCGACAGGGCCGGCCTGCCTCTACCTCAGCGTTCCTAAACAGAACTCCTTAAGAACCCTCTACTATGGGCCTCTTCTACTTGAGAGAGCCCTTCTCATAGACTTCTTGACTGTAAGGAGAAGCTCCCCTCTCTCCTGCTCCCTTTGCACACCGCCTTCTTTTCAACTCCTGAGCAGCCTGCAAACCCAGCCTGACTACCCTGCAGAGGCTGCTGCAGCTGGGCAGTCAGGAGCACCATCCAGGGATCCCTACTGCCATCAAATGCCCCCGAAGCAGAAGAGAGACTGTTGCCTTTCCATCCTTTGGGGATCAAGAACTCCAGACCCTCCCCACTCAGAAGCAGACACAGCTGTGAACTAGGAAGCAGGCCTCGCCCACAGGCCCCTCCTCACCAATGCCCCATTCTGTCTATGCCTCCCAGAAAGAAGTAACCTTAAGGAGGGGTTTGGTAGAGACCCGGCAGTTCAGGGACCACTAGGCCCAGGTCCTGCATGTGGGCTGTGACTCCCATGTTTCACATTTGAAAGTTAGCAGGTCAGGGACGGAAAGTGGGCGTTCAGGTTTCCTCTACATCTAGGTTTGTCAATGTGGGGGGCAGAGATGTGGGGACGCCCAAAAGGAGGGTCTTATCGTGGGGTTCAATTACTCCTGCTGAATCTTTTATTCTATTCTAGGACTTTCTCTCATCTACACCACGCCTTTCAATTTTCCTCAGCATCACTGGGGCAACCTGAGAGATCTGAGGGATCTGGGCATAACTGTTGGGGAGGGGAAGCCCAGTTCTAGCTGGCTGTTCTGTATTCACTGGAGTTCTTATGGTTCACCTTACACCCCCAACAGATCTCAGTGGGCACAGGAGAGGAGTTCCCTGAGGGGGAAGGGGCACACTTCCTATATCACCTCAAACCGGGGCAACTGAGACCACAATCAAGCTAGCACCGTGGGAAGGACAGACAAACAGATAGGTTAGAGTCATCATCCCCCTCCCCCTGCCGGGTGTCTCCCTTTTAATGATTTAAACTCCCTCCGGTTCAATCCACACCGTCAAGTTCGGATTAAATTTAAAACAGGCTTTCTCCTGTGCCCCCAGCGGGCCATCCAGGCCGCCGCGGGCAGGGAGCCCGCTTACTGCTCCTCAGCACCCGCCCTGAACCGAGGAGGCCCTGTACCGTTTGCTTTCATTTTCCTTCTCCCCTGAAATGGGCTCATTTCATCCCTCCGCTGCCCTCTCCCCTTCCCCGCCCCCTCCTTGATTCCCCTTCTACTCCCCCCCCCCCATCTCTCCTGATCCCTCTTTGTTGGGAAAAACACACCCACACACAACTCCTCCTAGCTAAGGCCTGCACTGGAAGCAGAAACTGAGCTCTCCTGCCTGCCGCGAGGAGATCCGCGTGCTACCCCCACCCAAGGTGGGTATCTGGGATCCCTGCACACCACACCAGGAGCTAGGCACCCAAGCTCAGAAAGCGTGAAACCCCCAGAGCCTGTGAACGTGGCCCTCCCAACGCCATGGCCTGCCCGGCCTGCCTTCGCGCCGGCGCCCCCGCCCTGCCGCTCCGCAGCAAACGGGGTTATTTCCGGCTCCCCCAACACAGTCTGGTTTCCAGCCTGGGGAGTGGCTGGAGGGGGAGCCGCCCCAGATCCAGGGCTGCCCTGTGCTCTGACTCTCAATGACTCCGAGCACGTTGTTACCTGATCTTTTGTGTGATGTATGTACCGCAAGGAAATTTGCAGTGACTTTGGAGCCCAGACTGAGGAAGCGTAGGTGGCGAAATGAGAGACAATACAGGCTCGAAGTACAATTAAGGAACCAGAGCCGCGGGTCTCTCCCCCGCCCTCCCTGCCCGACTGGGAGCTGTCTAGTTTCAAACATCAGGGCGACTCGCGAACCTAGAACCGGAAAACTTAGCCTGTGGCGGAGGGAGCCAGAGAACTCCGTGTCCAGAAAACAGGAAGAAAGCTCCCTTCCAACTTGCGGGTGCCAGCCCCGCCGAGTTGCAGAGAATCCAATGAATGAAAGTATAC